CTTGTGGGTCATTGCTCTTCTCTTGGTCAGGAAATTTTTTTTTTCTGAACAGAAAAGCAGAGCCTCTCCCTGGGGCCAGGCTGGGCAGCCTTTTGAGAACTCATATTTGAGAGGGTCCCAAATTTAGACTTTTAGAAGGTATCATCAAATAAGGCTCTTCAGAAAGTCACTTGTATTATATGTGTGTTGAAGTGTTATTTCGTGAAATAGGAACATTAAAAAATGTATGACAGTTCAGAAATCTGCTTTTGGATTTTTAAAAAATTTAAAAAGTATTTTTGAATCCTCTGCCAAAGAAGAATTAGAAAATTATTCATTTGTATTTCTATATTTACAGTTAATTTGGTATGTGGCTTTTGAGGGTCATATTTACATTTTTCTTCTTGTAGTCCTTATTTTTTTCTGTAAGTTGAGATTAATAATTTCATAACTATGAAGAGAGAGACCTATAGCACATCTATGCTTTCCTCACTCTGCAGATGATTCAAAGGACCTATGTGCTCAGATCACCTCCAGGATAATACGAATTCTGTGATTTGAATGATTTAGGAGGATTTATGCAACATTTCTATATGGTTTTTCTTCTTTTTAAAAAATGTATTCATACTAAGACAGATAAGATGAAGAATTTGGAGGGCCAAAGAGTGAAGTCAGTAAAGATCACAAATGCTCTTTTTCCCTGGAAGCCGGAAACCCAAAAGCCAGAGAATAAACCCTGAGTTAAAAAGAAGTAACCAAGGTATTGTTTCTAATTGCAATTATGTTAGTGTTTTCCATTTCTAGGAATGGCTTGGTCATTGTAGATGATTGCTACAATACTGTAAAATACAGTTGGATTAATTCACATATTGTCTATCTTTGGAAGCACTAATATTGTAGGATGAGGACAGACCTATAATCTTGGCAACTGATCAACTATATTAAATTTTGGGTTCACAAATCTAAAACCTAGAAATTGTAAAAGATAACTTATTGAAGAATAAGGCCTTGTAAAGACAGTATAGCAATTGAGAGAATAACTTTGAAACATGTGTTACCATATGTAAAATAGTTGGTGGGAAGTTGCTCAATCCAGAGAGCTCAACCCAGTGCTCTGTGACAGCCTAGAGGTGTGGGATAGAGGGAGTGGAAGGGAGGTTCAAGACGGAGGGGATATATATATATATGCTTATGGCTGAGTCACATTGTCACAGACAGAAACCAACACAACACTGTAAAGCAATTATCCTCCAACTAAAAATAGATTTAACAAAACACAATGTAGCACAGAAAAGTTAAAAAGAAACAGAAGCAAGGAAAAAGGTAGGTGACCTAAAGGGAAATTAAAGTAGGAACAAAGAAAAGCACTTGAATACAGATATAAAGGCAATACAAAATTATTAAACATTAGGTGATTTTGTTTTTTAGTCATTACTGTTTCTACCCATATTCTTCCAATTTGGCTATAACCACATTGTATTTCCAGGTAGTATTTTGTCCCATGACTGCAATTAGAAATTTGGGTACAATCATGAGAACAAGAGATTATCTTTCCCTGTGTCATTGCAAAATGCCATGACAGTCTGGCTAAAGGATATATATATATATATATATATTTTTTTTTTTTTTTTTAATTGTTGACCAATTTTTAACTTTATCCAGCTGGAACTTTCCCTTCAAAGACATCGATGAAGGTAGAAATTTGAAACAAGAGGAGTAGTGCTTTTAAATATGGGCAAGAAAAAAATCTGATTTAATGCATGGGTATGATCTGAATCAGTTTGAATCAGAAAGTTTGTACTTTTACTAGCTAATATATTGGGATATACATTCAAGGATATTCTCTGTACTATTTGAAAATGAGAACCACAGATTGATGGAGTGTTGAAGTGGATGAGTTACCACCATATATTCTCTTTCTCTGTGTAAAGAAATATAAAGGTTTCATTACAAGTTTCTTATTTCTGATAGAAGTATCACATACAATTCACACCATGTGTTGTGAGCTAGTGAAAGGGATAAATAGAAACAGGAGTACAAGGAAGAATCAAACTACCATTGACCCCGCTTCAAAACCTTTCCATTTGCCTCTCTTCTGCCATTATTCTCAGACGGGTAAATATCACCGAAGCCAAGCCATCAGTCAGCCTCCCAGCATCCTTCTTGTCTTTTTCTCCATCTGTACCCTACCATCCCACCTGTATCCCTCCCTGCTGATTCTTGATTTTCTTCAATAGCTTTCAAGAGATCTTGATCACAGAAATCTGAGTTCTCTAGATTTAATGCCTTTTATAGCCTGAACTATTCCATTCCAATCTGTTTTTCTCTGAACAGTCTCTGCTGCAGCCAGACTAGTTTTCACTGTTGCCAGAATATGTTTCTAACATGTCTACATTTTGCATCCAAAATGCCTCTCCCTTTCCTCTCTACCCATTGGAATCTCACCCAGACTTTAAGGCCCTCTTCAAGATAAGTAGGCTCCCTCAAGTCATCTTAGATGATCTTCGCCCCTGGGGACTTTTCATCTTCTAGAGTCCTGGAGTATGTGATATAATTCTGCTAATATTAATCATATTGTAATCTGGAAGCTGGGTATCTCTTTAAGTGGACATATACTACACCTTGCAAACCAAGTCTCCACCTCAACCAAGTCTCATATACCTGTTCTTGGTGGCACTTCTATGAATTCCTTATGAAAAGGATCATAGTGTTTGTCATTTCATTGTTCAGACTTGCTTCATTATTCACTATCTACATATTTTTCATTGTATTCATTTTTTTAAAAGTCTGTACATATTCTGGTTCATTACCTCTTTGTACACTGATGCTTGTACCTAATTAGATCCTATCAGATTATGTGGCATTTTCATGTTTTAAAAATCAAAAGAAATCAAAACCTACTGCCAAATGTATATGAAATTACACTATGATATGATTTAAGAAATATTCAGAACATAAAACTATAGTGCTTAAGTCTGCATTTTCCTTGTGAAAGGAAAGTTACTATGAGTTTTGTCAAGACCAGACCATACATTTCTTCATTAATCTTTGCATGTCCAAACATTTCAGGTATCTAGGGGAAAAATAATTTCACAATAACAAAGTTCCTAAGTCATTTTAATTCAGCCAACTTTTGTCAAATTAATTTGTCTATGTATATTTGACTTTTGAATCAATGTCATGAAAGTTTTCTGATAAGAATTTTACAATTAGAGTAGCTTCTAAAAAAAATACAACTCTTCATAGAAGTCTCTTATGTGTACTTTTCATTTTAATCCAGCATGATAATTTGCTGTAATTACTTAGTGAACTTGAAGAACATAATAATTATATGGATGCCAAGACTTAAAATTTGAGAGGTAAAACCGTAGGTATTTATTCATTTATCTCCACCCTATTTTGCATGAAGATATACTATGAAAGGAAATTGCACTATTACATGAAATTTTGCTAGAACACAAATATTTCATTTTCTAACAATTAGTGCAAGTTTTTGCTTTCTTAATTTTATACTCATCTGATAACTTTGCAAACAGAAGAAAATCTTAAGTTGGAAAGATAATAATTAAATGATGGGAATAACTTAAAAAGAAATATTCTTTAAATTTATCTGAAATTTAAATTAGTGTTGTTGTTGTTGGTCAGTTGCTCAGTCATGTCTGACTCTTTGCAACCCCATGGACTGTAGCTCGCCAGGCTTCCCCGTCCTTCACCATCTTCCAGAGTTTGCTCAAACTCATGTCCATTGAGTCGGTGATGTCATCCAACCATCTCATCCTCTGTCGTCCCCTTCTCCTCCTGCCTTATATCTTTCCCAGCCTCAGGGTCTTTTCCAGTGAGTCGGCTCTTCACATCAGGTGGCCAAAGTTTTGGAGCTTCAGTTGACAAAAAATTAGTGTATTTGTTATCATTTTCATTTTTCTCCTAGACCATAATAATTTTCATCCGATCATGGACAAAACTACAAGGTAACTGAAAAATAAAGAAGCAGCAACTAAAAGACAAATGAAAGTAAACATAGTATGTTAAAGTTAATAGACCAAATAGGCCTATTTGAAAGGGAAAAGAGAAATGGATAATTGAACACTTTGCTTAATGTTTAATTTCTTGTATCGACTTAAGATTTTCTCAAAGAACAATGTTTAGTTTTTTGTTTTTTCAGAAATAGGAAATTGACACAACTGTTGCAATCTAGCATCCAGAATTTCTTTTGATTGGTTACTGGAGAGCTCATCGATATTATAAATATTAAAAAGGCAAGGAACTCTTAATTCCAGACTGATTTTTTAATCTGTTTTCTCACTTAACTTTCAGAATGTTGTCTGCTTTATACATTTTCATAACAGAATGAATTATTTGCCAACACATTTTAACTCTTCTGACATATGGAAAGTCAAGCAGATTTTTTTGAAAGGGAGAAAATGTTTGTTTAGAAATTCTTTAAAAACTCCAAATAATGTTTTGCTTACTCAGCACACTACCTTTGAAATGGTAGCAGAGGCTGAAAGGGCTTAGGATTTCCAGCCTCACGTCACCTTGAGTAACTTGGTGCTGTTGTGTGTCTGTTATTCTAATATAACATTTCCTCTCAATAAAATCGACGATTCCAAAGAAAATAACTCTTCTGCTATTTTATACTTTCTGATTGTAATATTTCATTAAGCAGTCTGATTTCATTACTATGGTATTACTTTAATTTGACTTCAGTTCAGAAACCTCTAGAAAAATTAACATTTCAGATTTATCTGTCAGCCAAGCTGTAGAATCTTGATACAGAAAGATACCAATCAAGGTAAAACTTTCAGTAAGTGACTATTTTGTTGTATAAAAGCCAAAATTCTAAAAGCAAACAGAAATTGGTGTAACTGGTGTTTAATCCGAGTGTATAACAGTAAACTGATTTAGCTTCTCAATTTTTTTAAGAGCTGACGCAAGTTGGACGGAGGGAGGTGTTGGGTTGAGGGGTTGGTGGTGATTGGCTTGTCTAGCTCACTCCCACTGGTCTTTAAATCATTGTCTAGATCCCCAAAAGTTCACATAAGTCAACTCTGCAACAGGGGTCTTCTATGCCAAACAATTCTGGAAGGACTGCTGAGGACTGGATAAATAATTAAGGTAAAGCTGTTTTTACATGAAAACGTGCAGTGTTGAAATAATGCTTCATTTCTTCTTTTTATGGTATTGATTATTTATTACTTTTCTCATAAAAAATTGATTCAATATAATGTCAAATATTGAAATTATTTACCCAGATCCTGGGAGGAGGCTCTGGAGTGAATAGTTGACACAGTTTGTCTTAGGAAAAAGTATAACATTTGAAATGTACATTCTTAGCGTTATTGAAGACTTTCTTTATCTTAAAAACAAAAACACCCACCAAAACTTAGTTTACTCAAAGAAGGAACATCATACCTCTACAGAAGATGTGAAAGGCTAAGTGTTTGGGTAGTGTCATTTTCAAAAGAAAAAAAAAATGTTGTGTCTTAGCTTGTGTTTTTATGTAACCATTTTAGTGAAGGAGTATTTTTACAGCAAGTTTACTGGAAGAAACTGACAGATTAGTAGAATATAAGCAAAGCTTTGGATACAGAAAGTCTGGAATCAGATATCTAAAAATTATATCTGTACTCCTCAAATGTATTTATCAGACAGTGGGAGAATTCTCAATGTATTTTTGAGCTTCTTATAGAGCATATGGAGTTTATTTTAATTAAATGTCTAGGTGATAACAAAACTTTTATAACTCAGTGAAAAAATATTTTAAATGATGATATACATCATATTCATGGACAATTCATTGACTAAGGTTTATTCTTGACAAACTAAAAAAAATTTAGGTACGTTTCCTAGAAAAGACAGCCATTTGTTTTACAAGACAATATCTTCCATTTTTTTTCAGATTTATATTTAGATAGTGTTTTGGGATTTTCTGGAAAGTCTTTCTACTTCTAAGGAGTATATCAGTACCATTTAAGTACTGAGAAATGTAGTTTTGAGAGCTCAACTCTTGACTTTTCTTAAACTATGTTATACAGTATGCTTTAGGGGTTATTGAAGCTATTATTTTTAATATATGAGTTAATTTTTTAAAAATTAAATAGCTTATTTCAGAAGAAAAAAAGTACCTCTGCAGGTGGTCCAGTATCTATTATATAGAATATAGGCATTTAGAACTTAGTATATCCATAATTTATGACAAATTATTAAATATTATGCATTAACATGGATAGCATAAGGAGTTCACTGTGTAATATTAAATATGCTACATATCAAGGTGCACTTCTGGAAACAAACTACTGTTTGGGAAAATAACTAAAATTTATGCAGGAATTTAAGGTATTTCTTAACATTTAAGATGACTAGAGAATCTGTGTCTTTTTCTAAGAGCAGAGCTAGAAAATTTATAAGTAAAATAATGTATATGGATTTTATGAGTAGTCCTTTACACTTCATCAAAAGGCTGCTTTAATTCTTATATTAGCAAGCATGTAATATTCTTAGCAAAGGGACTTTTAACTTTCCAGTTCTCCCTTGATATTATTTCTAAGCTATGTCTAAGTAGAGGAAGGGAATGAAAATACTAAAATATTAGTATCAGCAATACGAAGTTGTCAATTGAAGGTGTGCATGCTTAGTCACTCAATCATGTCTGACTCTTTGAGACGCCAATGACTATAGCCCAGCAGGCTCCTCTGTCCATGGCATTCTCCAAGCAAGCGTACTGGAGTGGATAGCCATTCTCTTCTCCAGCGGATCTTCCTGACCCAGCAGGGATCAAACCTGGGTCTCCTGCTTTGCAGGGAGATTCTTTACCATCTGAGCCACCAGTGAAGCCCAACTCAAGTGAATACGGTTTTGCTATTATTGGCAGTTTCTTTTGTAAGATGTACTTCAGACTGACAGTGAACGCTTTCATGAAAGCTGATTTCTGTGAGAAATCATGCCATAGACTAATGAGTCATCTGAGTATCAATGTGTGATTAGAATGACATTGTTGGGGAAATTGTTTAAGAGAATTTTACATAAAGGTAATATTAGATTCATTTCATTGTCAAAGCTATATTCATTTATCCAAGATATATTTTGGATGTGGATTTAAATCAGCTCCTTTGATGCAAGATAATTTGGCTTTTAGAAGTTGTGGTTGGTGGTGGTTTAGTCACTAAGTCATGTCCAACTCTTGTGACCCCATGAATTGAAACCTGCCAGGCTCCTCTGTCCATAGGATTTCCCAGGCAAAAATACTGGAGCGAGTTGCTATAGGATCAGCAACTTCCTGCTCATCCAACCGAAGGGTAAAATCTGCTACCTGAACCTAGATTTCAGAGTAGATTCATCAGAACTGGACTGGCATGAAAAACAAATATCAATGGTGGGAAATTTAGCTCCTTTTGTGCTTTTATCAGGTAAAATAAATGTTTGTAAATAATACTACAAAGAAAGGTTATATATAATGTTTAATAACTGAAAGTTGAATATAAGGAATCAGCTATTTAGGACATTCAGATAATGTAGTAAGTATGATGAAACAAAGACTTCTAAATGGTGATAGTGTTCCAAATACTTTTATTTCAAATTTTGATTTTGCACCTTCATGAACGAATAAAGTAAAATGGCAATTAGATCACTGCACTCAAATATCCAGTCTGTTTCGGCAAAACCTCTCTTGCAAAGGAACCTAACTTCTTCATTAGTGAGAAAGGCTAGACTATAGAAAGTTCTGTCAAATCAAATTTGGTTTTTCTTTTAGAAGAATTGTGAACATTCTTTGTACAACAAAGCTGCTCTTCTTCTTGGGAACCAGAAGGGAACATTTCTATTTCACTTTGAAATGTTAACCTATAAAGCTATAATAAGAATTGTACTTGCATCTATAAAGGAGATCATATAAAATTGCCTTGGTCTTAGAAGAATATGTCACCAGGTACTGTGCTAAATAATGGAAATATGTGTAGTCTACAAACCTGACCTTGTCCCACATGCATGAAATTTTTTTTTTGCCTAGCAGAGGAGAAAGTTATTAATATTTATCAAATGATCATACAACTAAAAATGTAAGTTCAAAATGTGATGAGTTTATAAGGAAGAGGAGACCGTGCTCCATGGGGGAATCTAGTTTAGACATGGGGCCTCTCTGACCATTTGGCAGTTAAAGATTTTCAGGTTCTTTTAGTTAACTGTGGGAGACACTTTGTTAAGAATGGGGGGAAGGGAATTCCAGGCAGAGGGAACAGCAGGTTAAAAAGGTCTCGAGGTGGCAATGAAGAAATGAAAGAAGTCCAGTGAATCTAGTGAGTAGGGGGCATCTGATTCAATGCAGGACTCAAGATCTCTGTCTGTATTAAGCTATGTAGAGCCTTATAGCATGTTAGGAAATTTGACTTTATTCTGAAAAGTAATGAGAAAAATAATTTTGGGTCCTTAAACATGTAGTCATCTGGATTAATGTAATGGTCATGGAGAGGAAAGTAAATTAATTTTAAATAAATGTTGCAAGAAAGATTGATATGGTGATAGGTTGAACATGGGAGAGGGGGTACAGTATAGAGAAGGGGAAGTACCTATAATGATAACCAAATTCCTCTTTTTCTTTTAATATTAACTTTATTTATTAGGCTGCACTGGGTCTTAGTTGTGACACACAGGATTGCAGCATGTGGGATTCAGTTCCCTGACCAGGGATTGAACCCAGGCCCCCTGGCATTGGGAGCACAGAGTCTTAGCCACAGCACCACCTGGGAAGTTCAGCCAGATTCCTCCTATTGTTACCGAAAGCTGTATGGGATCCGGCTGCTTGACCCCCAAAAGCCAATAAACAGGCAGGTTGGTGGAAAGGAAAGTTTGCTTTATTTCAGATGCTGGCAACTGGGATGGGGTGGGGGAGGGTGGACATCTGTCTAAAGGCCGACTCCCTGCCCCCTCCTGCACCATCTCTGAAAAGCAGGGGATCAGAGTTTTTATAGACAGAGAGAGGGAGCTATATGCAAAAACAGCACAGTCAGCTCTGACAGTCATCTTCAAATTGATCATTGGTGGTATGGTCAGTCTCATCTTGGTTGTCTTAGGTACAGTTAATCTTCAGTTCCAAGGTCTGTTTGTTCCCATTTCTTTGTAGCCAGTTCTCAGAATTGTGGTAGCTCATGTCGTGGGTACAGTCTAGTCATCATTTAGTTAATTCTTCCACCTGATGTTTGAGTATCTGTAAGACAGCTCACAGGATATGGCTCAGAATATTATCTATAGCCTTTGAGAAAGAACTGAAGGTCCTTGACTATGCTAATGCCTACATTATTATTATTATTATTTGGTTTCCTTTGTTTCTGCATTTTTCACTTCTCTGATTACACTTACTCTTTAACTAAGGTTTTCCACAGGCAAAAGGCAGGCAGAGGACAAGGGGAGGAGGGCAAGGACTATCGGGTCCTGCTCCGTTTCACTGTGAGCACCTCTTCTGAAGTGCCATGTACTGAGATGGGGAGCAGCAGGAGAATCTACGGCTATGAAAACTAATATATTATATATTATATTATGAAAAGGGCTTCCCTGGTGGTTCAGACAGTAAAGAAGCTGCCTGCAATGCAGGAGACCCAGGTTTGATCCCTGGGTCAGGAAGATCCCCTGGAGAAGGGAATAGCAACTCCAATATTCTTGCCTGGAGTTTCCCAAAGACAGAGGAGCCTGGTGGGCTGCAGTCCATGAGGTTGCGAAGAGTCAGACATGACTGAGCGACTGAGCACACACACACATAATATGTTATTATATTTTTCAATCATAGCATCATTCTTTTCTAGTTCTCCAGGGAGTGATTCATTGATTAGTTCAATATGTATTTATTCAGAGAAAAAAGTAAAGATTATAATATAAGAGCTTGTTAAAAAATCTGTTTTCTCTACTAAACAGAATTCATTAGGTATAGGGATTGTGTCTTATTCATGCTTTATCTTTCATAGTTTCCGGCTTATAGTTCATTCTCAGTATTTGTTGAATAAATAAATAAATACCGTCTTTCTACACTTTCATGTTGATTAATCATGTTGTTAAGGTTTAGCAATTATGCTGTAGTCTAAATGCTTTAAAGGACCTACTTTGTGAAGCGGGCAAATGATTCAGAGTAT